ATGTAATAATGTTCCACAAATAAAAAACAGTTTTATGAAGAAAAATTCTAATATATATGTAGAGATAAAAAGTCTGAAAAGGTCTGAGTCATTTCCAAATAATAGAAGATGAAAAGGGATTTGCCTTTTTATATTACATACATATTTTTACATACACAAAAGAACCCTTTGAAGGAAAAATGTGACCTTTGCAAAAATAACAAGTGGCAAGATCCACACAAATTGTAAGGAAAGAAGAAGAGTTCAGTGGGAACCTGAGTTGCTGGACACCGCCTCTGAGACAACCTGTGGGCTGAGGGCCATTTCTGTGCTGCCTGTCAGGCCCAGGTGTCCAGGTCAGGACTGGTCCAGAGGAGCATTTGCTGGGTGAGCGATTCATGTATGAGTGAACTGATCCTGGAAGGACATGCTTCAGCAGACAGTGAAGCCTACTACAACTAGAGCAAAGGAAAGGAAGATTTAAGTAGGCTGAGTTTACGAACTGAGGTCTCTATACTGTAGATAAGTGTACTCTCCGCTTTTCTAGCTCGCACAGTAAGGGCTGGGGATAGCTAAGTGACTGAATACTTACTTGCAAAGCATGCCTGAGGTCCTAGGATCAATCCTCAGCATGAACATAAATAAGTAAATAAATTAAATAACAAATAAATCAATCATCAAAATCTAATAAGCAGAATCAAAGTACACCTTTGGCAGAGAAATGAAGCAATGATTTGCTGGGTTACACGCAGTGGGATAACAAACAGGTAGTTTGGCCAGTCTGAAGACATTTCTGCAACATGCAGTGGGTGGAGAAAGCTCTGACCTGGATGACCACAGGAGCAGGCTTGGGAGGGAAAGGAAGACCTGGAGATCCTAGCTGGGAGTAACCGGGAGGGGAAGTTTAATCCTTCTGTAAGAGCCTGAGTCATGGAAGCTTGCTTTCAGTTTTAACTGCTCTGTAGTGACCTGTCCATCCAGCACACATTCATGGTGCCACTGCACATCCTAAAATGGAGCAACTTCTCATTTCCTAGACCTTTCAGTTGGTCAAGTCTGATATTGGTCAAGACCTCTAAGACCCAGATAGCTTCTTTCTTTGAAGAGCTGAGAAAGAGGCAGCAGACTGATGCTGCTTCTGAGGCAGTGTCTGCTTGCTCCCTGGCTGTTGCTTCTGGATTCCCAAACGTTCCAACTCCAGGGGATCTGAGTGCTCCACACACTTAGGAAAGTCCTAACTCTGATGCATTAACCTTGACTAGCCAACACAAAAGGACACTTAAAAGCATTCAGGATCCATTAGGCAAATCACTCAGTGTTTCCTCGGACATTTTACTACACAACTGTATGCATCCTTTTAGATCTTATTTTGAGTTGATTAAAAAAAAAACTGCTACCAAGACTTAATTAATTTATGTGTGCATTTACTTTATTTCTGCTGGGGGACCTGAGTCATGGCCATGTGCTTCACACCTGGGGGTTCCACAAGGTTTCCCATCAAGGCGTTGGGGGAATTTTTTATTCAGGGAAGAGAGAGAAAAGAACTTCAGCAGAAACTGAAGTTCTCCTGTGGGAGAAAGCATTGCAAGAAAAAAACAGGATGGCTAAACAGCAGCAAGGACCACTGCCTCTGGGGATTTCCACTCACTTTTCTCTAAAAGAAATATCCTGTCCTACCGGTCTTTCATCTATGCATTTCTCAGACTCTCTCAGACTTTGCCAAGAAACCAGGGCAAGCACAAGTCCACTTATACTGAGTCAGGCAGGAATCTTCCCCTCTTCTGCCAAGTACTTCGATAGATAATCATCAACATCAGGAGTTGATTCAAATAGAGGCTTATTCTTCCTTTTAACTACTGTACCATTATGCGTTTGAAATTACAAGGTTGTTGGGGGGGGATTAAGTAATTTGAACTTATTTTTTTAAACATGCAATCCCGGTTAATCATTTAAACAGATGCAGACTTAAGACTTAACATCTGGACTGGAGAGATGGCTTAGCAGTTGAGAGGCCATGTTGCTCTTATTGAGGACCTATGTTCAATTCCCAGCACCCAAATGCTGGTCCACAACTGACTCTGACTCCAGTTCCAGGGCACCTGATACCCTTTTCTGACCTCAGGGAGCACCAAGCATGCATGTAGTATACATACATGCATGCATGCAAGAAGATTCCTGCAAGTTCCAGGCAGCTTGGGCTATATAATGCATTCTAGGCCAGCCTACACTCTTATGTGGACTGTATCTATAAATTAAAAATATATACATACCCAAGTGAAAATAAGTCCAAGAGACTAGTGTAGTGGAATATGTCTGTATTTCTAGTATTCCTTAGTCCAAAGCAGAATTATGGTGAGTCTGAAGCCAATTTGGGCTATGTAGCAAGTACCAAGCTAGCCAGGACTACACAGCAAGACCCTGCCTCAAACAACATTAAAAATCAAAATTTAAGAACCCACAAACCCCTCAAAAGGAAGGAAGGAAGGAAGGAAGGAAG